CTGTTGTAATGTCCTGCCATGTTAAGGCCATGTCCACACGTACACGGATATTTTTATAAACAGTTTTTCCTTCCGTTTAAAAACAAATCTCCTTCCACATGAAAATGCAAACGCATGCGATGAAGCACTGTCAAGAGCATGCCAAACCAACAGGTGGCGATATAATCTCAACCGTAAAGCCATGTTGGCCAATCAGAAGCCTGAAAGAGTCTCCAGTAGGCGGCGATAACAGCACATGCTCCGACGTCACAAGCCAAAAACTCCGGTTTCGCTGTCTACACGATAACACAGTTTCTGAAAATCTTCACCCTGGCAGGCTTTTTCAAAAATGTTCGGTTTCAGTGACCTGGTGCTGCGTTTGCGTGTGGACGAACGGCCAAACCTTGTAGAAAAAGCTGCGGTTTTAAAAATAACCGCGTTTGTGTGGACAGGGCCTAAGTTTACAGACATTTTATTTAACCTTAAAACATTACATAATGTAAAATTCAGGTAAAACACTTGTTTTTTTTGTTTTTTTTTAAGTGGATTCTTCTATCACATTCTTTCTAATCAAACACATCTGGACAACCTAATCAATGTCTTCAGGATTACTAAGGTTACGGGCAGATTATTTCATTTTTTTCAGGGTTTGAGCTAAACTCTGCAGGACAGCTGCTCTCTAGGACCAAACATTTTTGTATTCATCTGAAGGAAGATAATTCTGAATTCTCGGTGAATGATCCGCTTAATGGAAGAGTGTTTTACCTCCGGTCACCTGTAGCTGAACTTCAGTGAATATGAAGGACCCAGAACTCTCCTCTGCACACCAGTATTTCCCAGAATCCTCTGCTCTCAGATTGCTGATCTTCACAGTAAAGACTCCAGCAGAGGTTTCTTCAGTCAGAGAGAATCTGCCGTTTGTGCTGTTATTTGATGAAACATGAACTCCGTCTCTGACGCAGATATTCGGCTGATCTCGTCTGCAGAAAAACCTCTGTGCTTGATTCCTGATGTGTTTACAGCTGATGGACGCTGATCTTCCGACAGACGCTTCATGAGTGACCGCTGAAGAGCACAACATTAAATATGATGAGTTTGATTACAGAAGGAGCAGAAACATTGAGATTATTCCCAAATAAACATCCTCACCGTCCTTCATGATGATCATGAGCTCAATGGGAAGGTTAAACGCATCTTTCACTGCACACCAGTATTTCCCAGCATCCTCTGCTCTCAGCTCGGTTAAACGCTTCACTGCACACCAGTATTTCCCAGCATCCTCTGCTCTCAGCTCAGTTATGGTCACAATGAAGAGATTGAGTGCAGTGTTGTCCTTTACTGAAATCTTTGGTTTTTTAACATGATCTTCATCTGATTGAATGATATTTTGAGCATCTCGAGT